CAGGATGACTGAGTGAACAGTCTGTTCGTCCTCACTCTACTCTGTTAATGCGTGACAAAGGGTCATTCCTTCGGGTGTGAGTTAGAGCGGACTAAATTGCCAACTGTCCAATAGTAGATGTGATAACCTTTTTGACACATTATGCTGCAAACGTAACTTTGGATCAAATCTGGTGACCGGCAGGCCAATCCTTTGGATCTCTACGACCGATCTACCGGTGACCGAACACCTACTTAAGACAATGCCGCACCGTTTGTGCATAATGGGCAGGTGCACCATATTGAATCTATAAGGGCTGAAGCGAAGTGCCGAAGTAGCCAACGATAATCGGTGGTGAAAACATCTCTATCTTGTGGCTCCTACGTAATTTGTCAGCGACAGTTCCCTTACCACTGGAGAACCATGATAGTAAGAGGAATGGCGGTAATCATAATTGAGTTACTTGCTAAACACGAGGCTAACGTCAAATGGGCAACGGAAGTATGTGACCCTGGCTTGCAAGAAGCGCGTAACGCAGCCTACTGAGCTTCAACGGTTTCCTCCATCGCCGTCAACTTTACAGGAAACACCAACAGCGACGCCTGCACCCTGTCGGGCAATTGAGCGATCGGGCGTTTCTCACGTACCCATCTTGTTCTAATTTCTCCCAGCGTTCAGTTAACCCCTACGAAATATGCGCACCATTATCCATTGCAACAATATGCTACTGAAATCAATCGCTATGCATTATATATATATATATATATATATTTACATGAAGTATGTTTCAAGAGCATAAAAATCAAGGAAATACATGTTCAAAATGACCACCATCGTTTTGCTTGCAGAGCAGTATTCGCCGGATGCTATTGGCCAGCACTTTCTGCAGTGTCCACCGATATACCGCGACATTCGTTGACGATGCTCAGTTTCAGTTCCTTCGGCCTGCAGCTGCGGAATGGCACAGGTCCGCGAGATTTCTTTGTAGGAGGATGCTAACAAATGTGAAGCGTCAGTTCTGTTAATAAATCAACTTACCCGTCATAAAAGTCAACGAAGTAGATGTTCAAAATGTCCGCCGTCGTTTTGCTTGCACAGCAGTACTCGCCGGATGCTATTGGCTAGCACTTTCTGCAAAGTGTCCACCGATATACCGCGACATTCGTTGACGATGTTCCGTTTCAGTTCTTCCAGACAAGTTGGCCTGGTTTTATACACTCGGCATTTCAAGTAATCCCATAGGAAGAAATCCAGTGGGTTCAAATCAGGAGACCGTGCAGGCCAATCAATAGATCATCCACGACCGATCCAGCGGTTACCGAAAGTTTTGTTATGGTAAGCACGTACCGTTTGTGCAGAATGGGCTTGTGGTGTACAGTATGCGTGAGAACGCACATGCGTGTGCTGTAGACCCACAATTTGTCATTCGTTTTTTAAAGTCAATGAGCTTCGCGCTTTGTGCAATATGTGATTCTCAGTATCCATGAGGATTAGATATTGCCTAGAAACGCAGCTTCTCAGTTCCGTACTAATGGAATATTGCGTCGTCAGTGAATATGTTAGAATGAACGCTCATGGTCCCGCCTGAAGCAAATTGGGCAGCGGAACCACACTTGTTTCCTGCAAGGCGATCAATACTGCGATGGGAGAATAGGCTATGCGGCAGCGAGTAGTCTTTAGGCGGCATGGCTTTTCAAAACTCCTTTATCAAAACGTCGCATTCCATATTTGCAAGGCCTAATTGTAAGGAATGTCTATTTTGCTAAGGTAGGTTTTTGGAAGGTAACTTTCAGTCTACAAGAGTGTTGCCAACATCCCTTTTGTCACTAGGTGGGATAACACTAATCACACCGTTTGCTCAGACCAGTTACGCCTGCACAAGCGCGAACAAAATTCTACCGCAGTAGGCGGGTTATGAGGCACTGCTGTTTCCATTTCTCACACCTGTCTCCATTCCAACCAGCCCTATGTATCGATCGGTGAACTTGGCTTAGAGCTTGCCGTAGGTTGACTCCAACTCAACCATTCGCGCATGCTTCATGGTTTTCACGATGGACGACACCGTTAAGCATAAATGTACTCACATGCATGAATGCGGGCGTTCTACACGCATGTGACCGGGTGAGACATTTTGTGATAGACCAACATCTACTATTGGACAGTTGGCAATTTAGTCCGCTCTAACTCACACCCGAAGGAATGACCCTTTCTCACGCATTAACAGAGTAGAGTGACCAAAGTGTTTGGACAGGCTGTACTTAGGGATTGAATCCGTGGTTCAGAAAATAATAAAAAGGGTCACGAACTGGACCAGGAAAAATTAGAACGGACTCACCAAAAAGAGAGCATATAATTCCAATTGGGATTTCCAACGCAGTGGGGAATGATTCGGAACGGCGTCACCAACGCAGTGACGAAATTGATTATTGCCGAGCGATGATTCTTGTCGCGGTCACCAATGTAGCGGGAATGACCAGCTCACGCTAACACACTATTGGTGAGTACCGTTCTCAGTGATTGAAAAGAGAAGGCACGGAAGTGACGGGACGGAAGTGTATTGTGGTACACGGTTCCAGTGTATTAGCTAAAAATACGACACCGAACGACGCAGCTAGGAAAGGATGTGAGGGACCGCGCGATGGAGCGGTGTGTTGAATCCAACCGTGTATGTTGAGTCAGACAAACAAGTGCAACATACATACAATCAGCCTACAAACTTCTAGGTGTACAATGAGAAGCTAATTTTATTTAGTGTTTTACGCATACTCAGGAATCTGGGGAAATCTCCAAACTGCTACACATACTTACGACTTCTAAGTGGGAGCGATCAGGTTTGGAGTCTGGGAATTTCGATGTAGCCACGCTATCATACAGTATTGGCTATGCAAGCCAGGTCAACTCGATATCAAAGCTATTTCGCTCTGTTTAAAAATCGCTACTACTCACGAATCTCCCATCCACCACAAAAAGGGTGAGTGGCGCTGATGGCCATCGTTATCTGCGTGTGTTTGCCTTTTAATATCTTGAGAGCCGTACCGTCAGCCGAGCTGCCAACATCATTCGACGTAGAGATGTTATCATCGATTGCTTACTAATGACAATTGGCTGCTGAAATCGGATCGCTGTTTTCATGTTTACCGAAAGTGACTCCGACATCGAGGTCACCATAGCGGATTTGGTCTTATCGATGACGTACAGCTTAAAATACTCACCAACATAACCTGAGTTTGATCGTGCACTACAACGCGTGTGAGGTGAATGTGGCTAGTAAGTATACGGAAAGTCTGACCTAGCCTTCGCGTTTCCTTCAAGTAGCCCGATCTCTAGCTCCTTCAGTGGGAGGATACCTGAGCATTCGATTTACTAGATTCGTGTTAACATACTTCTGAATTTAATTTCCGCTAGTTTCTGATACCCTCATCAGTCGAATAACGACTATCCCGCTGAAAAATCTTGCACCGGAAGCAAAACATGGCCTTTCTGGAAGGAAAGTACACCATCCATGTTTGCAATCTTTACTCTCCATCTCGCAAATCCAGAGAAACCATTGCATTGTTAGTCCCCTAGCTTCCTCTTTGTGTTCATTCCACGTCACGCCACTTCCTTGAATTCATGATCGAAGTGTTGCACAGCAGTTAATCACATCCGGACAAGCATAGTGCGAATTCCACGACCAATCTTAACAAGCTACAGGTCGAAATAGGTAAAACCGGTTGATGTATGTGTTACCATGCCAGGTAGTGACTGCCTTTCTAATTTCTTAAATTCACACATATCTGCACCATCATTACAGACATTTACCGTTGCATCGATACTGGCAATGTCGACTTCTGCTGCCCGGGTATCAACATTTGCAGTACAATCTCATTTTCGGTCTCAGTATGATTATCGCCCTTCATTTTTCCATTTCAGTCACAAAAGTACTGTTGATGAATTTCCACTTGTTATCTAACACTCCTCTGTACTAAAAATACCGTCCTCTATCACATGTCGCCCGGAGAAGATTTCCGCCGCCCGCTCTATGTTACGCCATAGCAGACGCTCCAGTGCCAACTAAAAGGTGACAGCAGAGGCGTAGCAAGGGGGCGGATGGGAGGCGATCCGCCTCTCGCGACCTGTTACGGGAGGCGGCATTTTTAGTACGATTGGTTTTTCGATGCCAAATATGCGGGCAAAATTTCCAGATAAGCTGAGGGTTGGCTATTTCAATGGTACTTTCTTTGACCAACAACACCTTTCCGCCGCGTGTCACCCCCGTGCAAACGTACTTCTCAGCGATTCCCCTACTTGTCCCATGGTGGTCACTTGCACCACAACTGCGTCAGTGTACCAAGCGATTGTCCACTTCATCGAAAACTAAATTGACGGGCTGTTCGCAATGTAGATGGTTTGTGGATTTTAAACTGCAAGGGGTGTGGGCGAAAAGTTTACTACCGCCCAGGGCGGCAAAAGTAGTTGCCACGCTATCGGGTGACAGATTAACTGTAGGCGCGTAAATGAATATGTATTCTACATCTTTTCCCGACCGCTAGCATCCATAGTCCAACTGAAATGATCGTAAAGGATCTGAACTGCATCTGTATGGCAATGGAACTTGGTCGTTAACTCATTTGAATTGTATCCAGTGTCTTTGCGTACGCACTATGCGTATGAAACCGTGCATGAACGCTGGTGAAGAGTACTTAGAAAAAATGTAATGCTCATTTTGTGCATCCAGAAACTTATTGCTACTCCCTCGTATTCCTTACCACGAATGAGTATATTGGACCACGTTATTCCGCAGCGATTTCAGCACCAGGCCATCCAACAATTATCAAGTGGATGGGTAACGCCTGGACTGCTCTCAGCTGTTTGTTATTAAAATGCGAGTCGAAAATTTGACTGGTCTGAAAGTGTCAGCAGGACCGATAAGGATCACCATTCATCCGCTATGCAATGGTTGCTCTAAGGTTCATCAGTGAAATCTGCCGTATTTAAAAAAATAGACAGCAACTCAGTCGAACAGAGAAACTGGAAAATGTGGGAGGATAACATACGAATTTGAGCTATATCACATAGAATGAAAAAATACTTATGAGTGAAGAAAAACCACAATTCAAACGTTCATGTTCTGATAATAAGGCGCTTTCCTGCCGTTGGTTAACCTTTTCTTGAATGGCGAGATCAGAGGCTCGTTCTGGGAGTTGGTGCCAGCGAGTAGTTTACCAAGCTGTCCGTCTGGTTTGGCCGCGGACAGCAGATCCGTCATGAACTTTGGGAGGCACTTGTGTGACCGTATGAATAGGTATCGTAGAAACGCCAGCTCGCGAAGCCCAGAGCTTATATGCTTTCGGAAATGCTCATTAACGACTTGCAGTTTTTTGTATCTGTGAAAGGAATTTGCAGGAAAATGCTGATCAGCGTTAAAGTGTTCATATATGATAAGAAGTTGGTACACATACCATACTTACGGATATAAGAAGTACTCAGTACTCTTGTAAATGCAACAACATATTCACAGTGAACCCAACAATCAAGGGTGCGAGCTATAGAATGCACCACATAGTGAATGTGAACGGCAGTATTAGTATTTGCGTATCCTTGTGCGTTGGGGATATCTTCAGAGTGGGTAGTTTATAGCGTTCTGATGTTCGCACGGCTGCAGTCTGAAAACCCTAATTGTGAGAAATTTGCGGTTTCGCAAGCTACATTTCCTGAGCTCAGATAGATGGTAGTAATGACTTTAAAATTCCGCTTGTCTGTATCTGATGTTCTGTCACTACCACGTTTAACAACGTAGAATCATTTCGATAAGCGGTATAAAAGTTGAAGTAACCGATCCTTGCGCACCCAAGTCGTGTTGAGAGATATATGTGCCGTACATAATCCGGCTGCTTGGCAGTATTTCGCACTTGCACGTCAGGCAATGACATTTGTCACAAATAGCACCAGGATTCAAGCGATGATCAGTTATCGTGACACTTGATCATCCTGTCCACGGTATTGGCTCTATGTAATACTTGGTCAACGGAATAGTCAACTTTTTCGACGGACGGGGTTTCAGACCGAGAAGACATCCAGGATGACAAAGCAGGCCAGGAAAATAGATTCGAACCGGTGACCTTATGATTGCAAGCCCCGCGTGCAGACCACTCCGCTACCAGGCTTCCCCGTTACTTTTCAGGTTAGCAAGCAGTTTCACTCTGAAATCTTTTCGAGTCTCCTTGTGTTCGCTATCAGCCAGATTACGTTAACAAGCATCTGTAAATTCCTGAGACTGCCTAGTGATCCAACGTCCAGGTTGGCGATTTGATTTGCCACATTAAGACATACCCGCTGCTAACAAAGTCTGCCAGGATTTTGACCACTGATGTTCAATTGCGTTCGATGAGCGCTTATTCAGCTCGGATGCCAGCGTCTTCAAATAGTGCACGAAAAGTGTGCCTGTACATTTTGAACACAAGTATTTTAACAATTCAAATAGATGCATTCACGACAGCACTCTAAAATTAAATCTGTGATTGTTGTTATGTGAAACGAAATATTGAATGGCAATTTCAATTGTTAACTTTCAACTGCGAGAGCGGCAGCAGTTGTATGTCCGCCACGGACAACAAAAGTAGTTGCTACGCCACTGTATGCACCCCATTTGTTTACACACGCTATTGGGTCAAACGAGGTATTATCCCAAACGATCAAGACAGTATCCAAGTTGTACTGGACATCTATTCGGGCCTTACTGGTACGCAAATTAAATTGGGATTGCTGTAGGAATGGTTGCATTGAAATCCAAAGTGCAGCTTCCGAACTTGACCGACCAACTTCAAATGAGGTAAGGAATTAACGCGCCAGTGCACTCAAATACAGCGGACAAACATCGCATAGAGACGGTTTCCATTAGACACGCGATTCATTCGTTCAGCTTCAATGACGACATCTTGTCTGGCAATGGACGTGTTTGCGAACACGCATCTATCGGTTCCTCTCACTCTTGCAAAAGCCTGACATGACGCGCGCAGTAATTTCTTATTCACTACTATTCAACTATCCACGCTGATATCCCATACTGTGATATATCTGACGGTTGCTTCACCCGGCAATCTCATTTGGTCCTACAATGCGCTTTCCAAACATCCTAGTTTTCCCAACAAAGAAAATGTATCTACATTATCTCAAGCTGATCATGAAAGAGTACGATGCAGCGAATACCAGCACGAAAAGACCACTAGTTGAACATATCACTCGGGCATGGCTTATTGGAAGCCAGTCCCGTGTCACTCCCTTGCGCTAGAAATCAGATATCGTTTCAAACCAGGTACGAACACACAAACTTACGTATGTGCATACATATTTTGAGAACATTGTGAATACTCACACGTCCCTATGCCCTGCCAGTAACGTGCTATACTACCAGATAAGTAAAATAATAGGCCAGCAAAGTGATCAAAACATGTCCTTTTTACTGGACAATTAGGAAAATGTAGACGCATAGGTCAATAGCATTACGACATCCCACAACACTGATATCCTTGATGGCTGCTCCGGAAATGCGTTCAAGAAACTACAGCCTCCATTCTATCTGCGTCATGAGTTTCTGGGGATCCCTGGCCAGAAGTTCCTCGTAGTGCACTCTCATCTCATTCTTCATTCTGGCCTTCACCACCTGCCTTCACATCCTCGATCGGATTGAGGAACGGAGAGTATGGGCTCAATCTCAGAATGGTTACTTCCTCGTATCCATCTATTGACGACAGTTCTTCCAGTCGTGTGTGACATGGTACATTACCACATACCACGACAACCTGCCGGAGCTCCATCGCCCGTTTCAGATTGTCTAAATAGCTTCGCAGCCATTCGAGAAATAGGGGACCTGTGAATTAGCCTCTCCGGATGGTCATCGACATTTTCCCTTCCATTGTGAACGCACCGATCGAATGCAAATTGAGGCCTCTACTATTGGCAACTTTGCAACTGGCCCTTACTCCTCTGGGCGCCCGACCACGAGTAAGTTTGCAGTAAACGTTGAAATTCTCTTCGTCAATCCAACTGGAGAACTTGCCATCGCTCTCAAGTTGCAGAAACTGCTGAACGAATTCCCTGCGTATCCCTTTGGTTCGCTCATTGTTCATGCCCCCGGGAACCTGATAGATGTTCTTCATAGTTATCAATCGACCATCTAGGTGCCATGCGATTGTTGACTTTGAAATGTCCTTGTCCACTTCTGCTCGTACTGGTACTCCCATTTCGCGTAGCGTAAGAGTTGAGTCCCTTGCTATCCAATTGGGGATACCATCTACGTCTTCATCCGACAGAACCCGCTTACGACCGCGCGCCTGCGTACTACTCGGCTCCTGATCAAGAGAACGACGAATGCAGGAGTAGGCTGTTTGATATTTGACGTCGTTCACACTTGCCACCCGCTGCTAGTCATCACCGTTGATGAAAGCTCCCAAAATTCGGACACGAATGTCTGATGAGATACTCTGTCGAACGCGAGAACGCATGCTGACGACGGTAGTATCACGGACACGGTTTCGGTCGTGCGCTTATGTTCCAACTGTTCATTGCTCTCAGACCAATTGTGATCCACCGTTTCGGACGTGAGGGGGACGCATACAAGCCCGTTGAACCGCCGAAGTGCATGCCTCTAAGGTTCATTCACAAGTCTCAACCAGACAACGGGCAGCGCGCTCACCTCCCCAGGTTAACGCACCGAACCTTGGCATCCGGCCAATGAGAACACACTTAAGGTCAGAGGATTGGCTCTGAGCGGCTGGCGAATCGCGCAGGGTTTTGCAACATTTTGGACTTTCTTTGCAAAATTTTGCGCATTCTTTGCAAAATTTTGGACCTTTTATGCAAGTTTGCGGGAAATGCTATAGAACTGTTTTTTACGAACTCTGAAATGCTAGGAAATGTAGTAGCAGGAAAGCTGTGTTACCTGATCGAAGGAATGAGCAGCAGTATATAGTCGGATTTTGTACTGACCACACCAGTTGTTGGAACCCTCAACTAGCATTTGCCTTTGAGTTTTACTGAATATCCTTGTTTCTGGCCTCGTACCAGTTATGACGATTTCATCACGCCAACTCTGCTCTATGTTCTGTCGGAATTTTATTTATCTCTTATGTACAGCTGTTCATCATCAGTAGAGTGTGAAGCAAAGCAGCTGAATCAGACGCATGTCCGTGATGGGGTTCCATCGCTTTACTGAACAGAACACTGACATCCTGTTTGGTAAGGGGTCACAACGTTATGGAAATGGGAAAGTGACCTTGCCCATCACATCCCGAGACAAGGGAGAGGCGGTTACTCACCCCGAGCCCATATTAATTCAACCCAGCCACACTTTCCTTGTCGTAGTCAGTCACACTTAGAGTCACTTGGTCCAAAGTTTTGCGCCCCCAAACACAAAGACAAACAGCTTCACTATGAGTTACAGTTTGAAAGCCTTTTTGACCAAACAAAAGGGCTAGTTGCAAGGTCAAATGAAGACCTGGAGCGGTTTAAGTGTTCTCTGGTGAACACTTGCTACCAGTATCGCAAGTGTCATGTCCAAAGTCACGGTCCACTGACACGCAAGCACCTTGACGCACTGAAGGATTTACAACGCAATGATAATTTCCTCCTGTTGCAGGCTCGTCAAATATCCCCGCAAAAATGCGCCACAAACTCCGGCGTAATTGCTGTGGAAAGCGGGGTCCAATTCCTCCCAAAACGTAGCAGTTTTCAGCCACTCCGAGACGTGGCACAACTGCGCACCTGTTGACAATGTTCTTTTACAAACTACCACCCCGTCGTGGTAGCTATTTTCCCTAACTTAATGACCCATAGCATTGGCTGTGATTTGCCCTTTGTTGGTCGTGAACGAGACTTCAGAGGACCACTTGCATTTCTTTTTGCATTTAGTTGGGAGTCGGTCGGGTCACGTGATTTTGTGTGCGTCGATAGCCAGGCAACGTTCGCGTCTAAGCCATTAGCGTGCGTCTACCGTAACCCCCTCTCGTGTGCGTAGCCTCGTCCGTTACGAGGGTTCAGCGTCTACCCGAATACGAGTGGCTAGAAACGTTCTCACGCTCGCTCATTTTTCCGTCTCACCAGCACGTACCCCGGGATAAGCTAACGCCATCAGGTCAGCGCAAATCCGTTCGATCGGCCAGCGTTCCAAGCCGTTACCGTATGCGTGCTCCAACCGTGCCAGTGACAATCTTATCAGGCGTTCCTCAATCATAATACCTCCTGAGCAAACCGGTCAAGAGTACCGGGGTCGTTCTAGTAGACAAAGAAGACTATATAAACAAGCTCGAAAGAGTTCTGAGTGATGCATCGAAATTATCCCGAACGATTGAGGAAAAGGATCAAACAGAGAGGAGTGAAAACCAGATTA